ATGAGTAAATTTTTTAAAAAAAATAATTATATAATAATATTTTATATTATAAAATTATAATATCATATACTATTGTAATTATAATATCTCCATAAAGAGGTAGAATTTTCTTTTTGAAAGAGAGAAATTGTTCGGATTGGGGCCGCAAGTACTGATTTGTTGCATTTGAACTTAATTGTCAATTACAAAGAGCCCGAATCAAAGGCCTTGAAGATGATTGGCGAGAACTAAGAAGAGTGGAATGGATCTTAAACCGTAGAGTTTAGTAATCCTGGGTTGAGCTTCAACCTCTTAATTAGAGCCCAACCAATTTGTTTTGTTAGATTAAAAAAGTTGCCCCGAAATGGGGCCATTGCAGGACACCGGGCCATTAAGTTTCATACCCTTGATCCGACTTTATTCATACAGTACAGCTGCTTGGACAGAAATTTTTTTTTCTTTTATGCAAATCTTTTAAAGGGGAAAACTTGCTCTCGCCAAACCAAACAAAACTAAAGGGTAATTCAAAAATAGGAAATCTCTTCAAACAAAACTAACAAATGGAATAGAAGAGGAACTAAGGGTGTGAGAAAGAAAGCAAACATATAAGAACATTCAAACATAGTGTAAATTACAACACAAAATCAGAGGATAAAATCCACTTAAAAAACAAGGATAACAACCCTTGCTGAATATATCCCACATAATTTAGAGAGTTGCTTAATTTACCCTCCCACCCATTTCCTACAAAAGAAGGACTAATTAATTAGAACTTATAAGTGCAGCTCCCATCATCACTCCTTGCAGTTGGGTCAAAGTTGGCTGCATTAGGATCAGTACAACCTTCAGGAACAGGAACTTTAACTTGCTGGGCAGCTTTTCCTGCACAGGAAAATCATCAAACAGTTGGTGATCAGTGTACTTTGCTTTGGTTCTAGACCACACCCCCTTACACTCTGCATGAAAGCTAGAGGCAAACCTCTGAGATCAAGGGATCTAACCGTAGTAAGTTCCTCTTTTCATGGTATCCTCATTGGCATCACCAAGGGCAGCCTCGCTCAAGTACTTGTCGGCCAATTGGACTCTCTTCACGTTCTCTTGCTCAGCCACGAGCATGTTTCCATACTCCAGGAGCTTCTCGATGGTCATCTTGGGTTGGTCAAAGGTTGGGGGTCCTTCCAAGGAGTTCACGAGCCTCTTCCCAACGCTATCGACTCCGATATCGCCGATCCACTTTCTCACTTCGTCGTCGTACACTCTGGCTCTCAGGGCACCGAAGAAATCTGCGAGAACAGTCGCTGAGGAATTTCGTCGAACATTTGATAGACATAATTATTATCATTGTGAATGTCTTTTTGTCTCACCAATGGATTGGCCGGGGAAGGTGTCGACGAGCTTGACAATGTCGTCGTCTGGGACATTGTCGCTCCTGAAGATACCCGTGCAAACACCAATACGGTCGTCGCGAGTTGGTGCCCAGTAGAACTTCTCCATACGACCGTCACGAATGAGAGGAGCGTACAGGGTGGAGAAATCGTTACCAGTGACGATGATGGGGACACGGGGGTTCTCCTCCTTGTTGTACATTCCGGGGAGCTGCACGCATGTGGGGTTATCGGCGATGTTCATGAGGGTGGCGTTAACCATCTGGTTGTTGACGGTGTACTGGGTGGTTCCACCCATACGACCAGCTCCTGCATCAAGATCGTTGATGAAGAGGCAGCACATCTTACCCTTCCTGATAATGTCAGCGGCCTCACGGTACCTTTGCCTGATCAGCTTTGCGGGTTCACCGGCGTTTCCACTTTCCAATTCTCCGGCACTCATCATGATGGGGCTGAAATATCACATCAGAACCCAAAATTTTAAGCAGAAAATCATCAAACATACATAATATAACCCATTCTAAGGAAAAAAAAAAAAAAAATCCATGTACTCACTTAATTCCCATCTTGGCAAAAACAAGCTCACATTGGAAGGATTTTCCCTGACCTTTTCCTCCCCATATACCCAAGATGAGAGGAACCTGTCCAAATTCATCATGAAATTTGTTCAAAGATTCTATTGCCATTTATTATACATGGGGAGATAATATTTATACTCTTAAGCTGCGTACATACCTTGATGTTAGGGAGGGCCATGAAGTTCTTGGTGATGTGAACAACAAGCTTGTCCATGAAAGCAGGGGCAATGTAGAAACCATCCATGTTGTTGTCCAAGTTGTATCTAAACGTGTATAAAATCATACATGAACTCGTGATTAAAACGACCAAGAATTGTTTCTTCTAAAAGCTTTAATCTTTTAATTTCAATGTTGGCATATTGTACACTTACGTGCGAAGCCCTTGGCTCATGTACTCGTAGGAACTCATGACGGCATAGTGGGTTCCATCTCCCATAGGGGCCTGGAACAGAGTGTCCACCATACCTTTACCTCTGGTGATGTCCTGTTGGTCATCAGAGACATCATAAGCAAGGCCTCTCCACTTGTCCTTGTCAGTCTGCGCGGACTCGTCAATCTCTGCACTCTCAGCGCAAACCTTGAAGCTGACAGGAGCCTTGTTGGCGAATCTCGGGCTCACTTTCTTCAAGCTGCTGCCAAAGAAGGCTGAGCTTGGAACTGCAACTCCAGCACCAGAGCTCAACTGCATGCATCAAATAAGTATATATATATATATATATATATCACTCTTCTTTAAACCCAAGGCTCATAAACTACGCGTCAATGAAATGAATATAATTGAATCACTAACATCAAGTTTATTAACATGATTAAAATTTACTGTAGCAAAAAAATGATAAAATTTACATTACATTAAAAGAATCATTAGTAATAAGAAACTGCTTAAAGTTGAAAGAAGAATTACTTACTATTTAATTCTATCCAAAAAGGAATTACTTAAAAAAATATGATTCAAACAAGTAACCATAAAGTATTATATGATCTTAATTTTACCACTAAATCTCAAATTTTCCACTAAATTAAGACTTTACCTACAAATATATATATCTATATAAATAAAACGTTAGCATACACAAAGATCTATAACTAGAAGAAGCTGTATAGGAAGCCTATGATCTCAGTTTTTACCACTAAGTCAAGACTTTATTCACAAACGCGTATTTATATGAATAAAAACATAAACAAATGCAAAAGAATCTAAAATTAACTAATTCTATGACTAGAAGAAGCTAGGTAAGTCAGCAAGGGTACCGGAGCTCTGTTGACGGCGCCGATGGTGGGGACTGCAGCAGCCATCGGGGAATGAACGGCGGTGATCTAATGAGAGGGTGAACAGAGGAGCAGCGGGCGCTCAATTGGGGAGTGGTCCTTTGAGTAGAAGAGATGGAGAATGAGGTGAAGGAAAACTTATAACGAAAATTCTTGGATAACGTGAGGATTGTAATCCGAATCCTCAACCGCCACACAATCAAGATTGTCGGAATATCACGTGGCAGCAGGTGAGTGGCACAGAGCTTGAGTCCTCAATTCCTCATTGGTCCTTGCGGTTGACGTTGAAGGATTTTTCTTTGCCACTTAAATATTGATCTGTTTACTTATTACCACACAACCGCTGAAACTGAGAAGGTTGCTTGTCTTTAATATGAAATTGTGTTTTAAATATTTTTTTCATTTTTTTCCTTATTTTTGTATGGAGAAGAGATAATTTGAGATGGGGATTGAATAAAATGTTTGTGATTCAAATTAATTTCGTTATTGTTAGTTCCAATTTCTTGTTGTTTCTGTAGAGGTTGGTGTTATCCTGGCATGGGCCATGGTACAGAACCTTGCAGCTTCTAGACACCATAAAGTTTTAAAATATCTGTCTTCACGAAAATGAAATTTTGAGACGCTTGCAATAATTCAACAATCTGCATACGTTGGGAGTGACCCCAAGGGAATTTTGACCTTATGAGCCCAAAATTTGAGAGATAGCCCATCTATATGATCTGTTTTGTGGCCTCAAACTCAACCCATTTTTCGTGAATGATCCTTACGGTTCCGTGCAAAATCTCTCTCTCTCTTCTCTCTCTCTCTATATATATATATATATATATATGGGATGCTCCGGCAGTCCTAACTCTTCCTTTCCTCTGTATATAGATGAAGTATTAATATTTTTTACAATTTAAACAAAAACAGAGTATAAAAAGATAAAAGGGAAAATTAAGATTTTTTTAAATTTAAAATATTATGATTATCAATAAAATTATTTAAATACCATTTATAAAAATTTTTTGTGTATTAATTTATTAAAAGTATTTAAACTTTTCTATTATTATATACATAAATTTTAATTATCAAATATTTTGATTTTATTATCAATACTCCAAAAAAACACCTGAAGTTACATGAAAATTAAATACTTAACTAAATTAATATTTATTAACTTCAAAATCATATCTAGTTCTAGAGGTAAATGAGTTGAGATAATGGTGTAGACAGAAAGGAAAGGAGAGGATAGAACTTAAAAACAAATGCAAGAGTGGGAGGAAAATAGCAGAATTAGAAATTTATAAAAAATAATTTTAATTCATAAACACTTTAATTAAATAATTTTAATACACCATACGATTTAAATATAGATGTTAAAAACTTAAATTAGACTTATTTTTTAATTAAACTTTCAATTAATTTTTATTAAAAAGATAATAACAGATCTTAGATAATTAATTGATCGATCTATGACCTTGATAGGGAATGACACTATCATTGTTACTCTCAGAGCCGAAAAGCTTCCCTCCACGATCACAATTCTCAGACCAAACAAACGACTTACAGTTTCTGACATGACACAAAGTTGGGAATCACTAGTTTGTCTCTCTTATTTTCACTTTCCCTTCTTGAGCTAGCCCGCCTAGCCATTATGCACAAAAATAGACATGCAAAAAGTTTCAATGCAACTATTGCTGATAGGCATATCTGGGTCATTATCCTGGCAATGGTTTAGTGGCAAACAGAAAAACTTGATTAAGTGTACGAATAGTAATATGGATAATAATGGAGAAGCAACATAAATCATCAACTTTTAAAATAGAGTTAAAAAACTGCATTATTGTTGGAATTGCCATCTCCCCAAAAGTCTATCCAATCCCTAAAAGTCTAACTATGGTACTTTTGTATGTAATTGAGTTATCTTTAAGTATTTGTTTGATTCAATTTCTGAAAAGATTCTTTACAATTTAATATGCACCCGCCTACCTATTATGTAGGGAGGCTTTGATTCCAACGGTAATAATAAAATGTATCCCTTGAATTCAACACTAATTATTCATGTGGGAAATGGACTCAGATGAACTGATTGAGAGTCACAATTTGAGGTTAAATGGGTCTGTAAGAGAACAGAATACTGCTTATGGCTCTTTAATTGTCTTAAGAGCCATTACTATTGGCCTCTGCACTTATATAATCACCTTTTTTGGTTGGCAGCCACAGTAATCACTTATATTGCTTAATGCAAATTAAAAAGAAAAAAGGAAAACAAGTATTATTAGCATTTGCAGAAACTTTCTGCAAATGGAAATATTTTAAGTTCCAAAAGTTAGTAACCTTCCTCTGAACTACCACATTAAGGAAGGAATAGGTTATTGTACTTGCCTGCAATTGTCGACATTCAGAATTAAGAACCATATCCTGCAAGAATTTCTAATTATTAGAGCCTAACTAATGGTATTAAGGATAACTCCTTCCGCTCCACTGCCCTGTTTATGAAGAATCTTTGTTAACAATGGAGAACTTTCCCAATTTAAGAATGACAGTGTAGGCCACAAGGGAGACCCAAAAGCACAGACTTTCAGCTATAAAGTTGAGCATATCCCTAATCCCTTGTGTTCAACAAAAGGAACTTCTCAACCCTTTTTAAGTGATGGTTATAAAGAAGAGTATAGCTTAAAAATTCTTGCCCAAAAACAATCCAGCCCTTACAGATTAGGACAATACTACTCGTATATCATTGACAAAGAAAAGTAAAAGCTCAGGAAAATGACAGGGCAAGGCTCATCTTGTGGAGCATGCAAGTTCCTGAGGAGGAAGTGCACGAGTGAGTGTGTGTTTGCCCCATATTTTTGCTATGACGAGGCTGCAGATCACTTTGCAGCAGTGCACAAGGTGTTTGGTGCTAGCAACGTGTCAAAGCTATTGTTACATCTACCGATGCATAACCGAAGCGATGCTGCTCTCACTGTGGCTTATGAAGCACTGGCTCGAATGCAAGACCCCATTTATGGTTGTGTTGCCCATATCTTTGCTCTCCAACAACAGGTTCCCATGCTGATAAACTGCAGTCTCTTCAATACCTGTAAAGTTTAGCTTAAGTCAATGAGTTTAGCACTATAATAACACATTGATGATATATTGCTTTGCAGGTTGCTAACCTCCGAGAGGAGATAGAGGTTCTCGGTAATCAAATGGCCAATCATTCAGTTGGAAGTCCAAGCTATGGAAGTCTTCAAGCAACTGCTTATTCAGACAGTAAGTCACAGTTTACAACACAACATGACAACAAGGAGACACTAGCTTACCAGGATCAACAAGTTGCATTGCCCATCCATCCAGAGTATAAAACTGAAATCCAAACTCTTGAATGTCAAATAAATGAACGACTTCCAGCTTCCCCTCCTTACATACAGCAAAACCAAAACTCTTTCTTTAACTTTGATCTAAATCCTCCTCAAAGAAACTTTGAAGGGATGGAACCAGGAATTCAAATCGATTATCCATGGTTCGAAACTGACAGCGTTGCTGGAGGATGGGAAGGTCTAAGCTGATAGCAGCTAGCAAGTTCTAAGTTGTATAATAAGTTAGATGTCCAGTAACATAAAAACTTCAAGTAGGAATGTCTAACAAGTTTTGCACCAGGCATGATGTCATTTATGTTAGATAACCCTTCTGATGAAATGAATGTCTACTATAGTTTGATTTCCAAGTAAACAGCCTCTGATTCTACTACATCTGATCTCATCCATCATGCTTCAAATTGCAATTTGCCTAAATTCTCTATTAGGTTAAATTTTAATATATAATAATGTGAAATTTTTGCTTTGATATTATTGATATTTAAATGAGTTTTATGAGGTGTACTTGATTTTACATGATTTTTATTCCTTGTGTGGAGCAGAACATAATTGGAAGAAATCAGATATTTTTAGGACCAAATTGAAGAAATCAAGCCTATAAGGATGAAAGTTTCAATTGATAAAAGAAGAGGGACCAGATCAGTTTTACCAATAAAGAACCAAAATTGCATTTTGGTCCAAACTCCCTAGATGGGTCCTTACAGGAGTTCTAGCAAACTTAATTATAATACACAAAAATTGCCCAAGCTATCGGCACCCTAAGAGGCAATTGATAGCCCCTTTTGAAGTGGTCTTAAAGATAATAAAAAATTTATTAACAATTAAATTGAGTTTTGTGTAGTTCAAAAAGAAATTAAATTAAAATTTGATTTTCTTTTGATTTTACTTGTTATTTGATATTTTTATATTCTTAATTATAATTTTAAGTTTTAATATTCTTATTTTGAATTAATTTATTCAACTAAAGTTATATGTAATCTAATTAATTTAAAATAGATTTATATAATTTTTGTGTTTTTGAGATTCTTATTTTATAATAAGTATATATTTTTATTCTTAATGTCTTTTAATGTTTAATTACTATTAAAATTAACATGGAAAGTTTAATTAAGGTTGAGAGAGGATTTTATATAATAACTTGTAATAATATATATCATAAATTGAACAAAAGTTAAAGATAAACCAATGTAATTTATGTAATATTAGTGATAAGTGTATTTAATTTTTCTACATAAACTAGACAATTTTAATATTTTCATTTATTTAAATTTACATAGAGACATAGTGAAGTAATAGATGAAGATAATTTTTTTATAATTTAAGAAAGTGTATCAAGTAAGATAGAAAATTTCTCTATTATAAGTAATTTATATCTTAAAAGCATAATAATTGAAATTTTATTTTAATCAATTATGATAAAATCAAATATTTTAATATCTTATGTCTTGATTAAATTTTATTTTAATTTGTTATTATTTTTAATTAAAACTTCTTTATTTTTAATTATCAATTAAGCTTAAAATTAGCACTTAACCGTAGAGACCCAATGACATTAGTCATTGAACAAGTGCATTTCCCTTTTTCTGAACAGGTTTTGAACCCACCCCATATCAAAATATTCAAAAAAAAAAAGCTTAAAATTAATTCTTTTTATAATTAATTAATTACAATTTTAGTGTTTTCTATACTTTTCTTATCATTTTATTATTAGACACTCTACTCGTTATTTTTTTAGAATATATTACAATTATTTACAAATTAATTATAAAATGAGAGAAAAATATTTCCATGAATTCAAATGTACAATTCACAAAAAATGAATAACCTAAACCCAAGATTCAATACCACATAACCGTTCCACTCTACTCGTTATTTTATTGCTTGAACCAGCACACTTCGTATCGATTTTTGCGCATCATTCTCCACAGTAAAGGGAGCTTGATGGGAGAAAATATCCTTTACAGCATTACAAGATATCACAGATAATAGCCGAAATAAACTGAGTTTTATAGTAACATCGGTCTATACTTTAAGAATACAAATTAAAAAAATATTAATTATATTTTTATAATTAATTTATATAAAAATAAAAATTAATTTTAAATTTATCAATTATTCAATTAAAATCATCTAAATGATATTAATTTAGAATTAATGTCTTACTTTTATATTTTTCTATCAAAATTTATTACAAAATAAAATATTTAATGCACTTTAGCCAAGTTTTATCTAGGACTAGGGAAAGTTCCTGATAAAGGAACGCCAAGACAAAGTAATGGAAACAAAATTATCTCGACCGCTAAGTATCAAAACCAGAACATGGGTAAGCAACCATGGCAGGACAGTCAATGAAAAAACAACCAATCTCACGAGCACCATTCTCTAGCATTCTGGAACATGCGCATCCATGGGCTAGGGCCTTTCTTGTCCACATCCCAATGCTTGGGGTACCAGGGAAACTGCCACATCAAGAAGCAACGCTCTGGATGTGGCATCATGGCGAGATGTCTGCCATCAGGCGAACAAATTGCTGCCACTCCTAATGGAGAACCGTTCAAGTTAAACGGGTAAACCTCTGTTGGGTTCCCATCATCGTTGCAATATCTTACAGGGGCCAAATCTGAATGCAAAACACGGTCCAGAACACCGTCATCAGGGAAATATGCTCTTCCCTCACCATGGGCAGCCCATACACCTAAAGTACTACCCTCCATTCCCTTGAACATTATAGCGGGAGAGTCCTTTATAGCAACACTAGTAAAACGGCACTCGAATCGTCCTGACTCATTGTGAACAAACCTTGGTTGAGATTGATCCCCACCAGTGCCAAGTACACCACCAACCTGGGGGCCTGGGATCCACCCCAACAGAGCCATTAGCTGACACCCATTGCAGACACCAAGACTGAAAGTATCTGGCCGCTTATAGAACTCCTGAAATTGATTCAGTAGAGGCTGATTGAATCGTATGGAAGCAGCCCAACCTTTTGCAGAGTCAAGCACATCAGCATAGCTAAAACCTCCAACAAATGCAATTCCACGGAAATCATGCAGAGAAATAGTTCCAGTAAGGAGGTCTGACATTGCAATATCCCATGGCTCAAAACCAGCAGCATAAAATGCTGCTGACATTTCCCTGTCTCCATTGCTGCCTTCCTCTCGAATTATAGCTACTTTTGGCTTTGAAGTTGCCTTCATGTATTTTTCATCTGTAAATGAAGGAGTGAAAGATAATTTCCATGAAGGCTCATGCCTAAACTTCAACCCTTCTTTCTCCAGCTCCACACAAGATGCCAGTCTCTGGAGCTTTTCAAGCTGAAAACTAGTGTCCTCCCACATGTCTCTGAGAAGGGAAGTTTTTTCATCCAAATGAGAAATCCCATCAACTTTTAGTTCTATCATAGGTGAGGCCGTCACTTGTCCAATTATGTTAGCAGAAATGTCTGCACCAGCAAGTTTCCCTATCACAGTATCCAGGTTATCCTTGCTGATCTCAAGAACAAGACCAAGTTCTTCCGCAAAGAGTGTTTGGAA